ACCTACTACCTACTACCTACTACTACTGCTGCTACTACTGCTACTACTACCACCACCACTACCTACAGTCCAACCTACTACCTACTACCTACTACCTACTACCTGGGGCGTCAGGCTGTCGAAAAATCCGCGCGGAGAGACAAACCGTAGATTGAAACCAACACAAGCAATACTAACCAAAACAATCCACAAAACACGCCGGCAGGCCGGCGGATTTGGAGCTCAACCATCTCGCCCGCTTCACCCTGGGGACCGTTGCTCTTCCGTTCATGTTCGGTGGTCAGGTCGGCGGGCTTGGGTTTCGTCTGACAGCCATTCAAGCCGATCCGTCGATCCACCTTCCTTGCGCTGACGAAGTCTTCCCAGTTAAAGGAAGACTTTCCTGCACCACTTGAAACCCGTTTCAGCGGAAAAAGTCTCTTGGACTTGTCCCTTGCACTGGTGTCAAGTGTTTCTTCATGTGGGGATGGGTCAAAAGCAGCCCTGGTCCACCACGGTCCATTAAGTCGTGTTTCTTCCCTGTGCCCAGTGCTACCAGCACTCCATCGGCATGACGGCGCCGATCCGGAACAAGGGCTCCACACCTCTTTTTTCTCGACCGATCTGGGGAAATCCACGCTGGGTTTCCCCATACCAGGAAGGTGCCAGCAGCTGCAGCCGTGTGCCTGCACGAGGGCAGCTAGATGGTGAAGAGGAAGCAGAGAAGCTCTTCGGGACCGTGGCGACCGGCTGGGGGCTGGGCCCGCTGCCAGGGGCGTCTTCGAGCCGAAACCATGGGGACTTTAGGGTTTTGGGCCCAGTTCGGCCCAAAACACACTCGGAACTCGATGACGAGTTCGGAAGAGAGGGCATCAGAAAACCACACGCGGGTGGGTGAACTCCACTTTTGGAGAGTACCGCAGCTTTGAGACTCTCAGTCCTTTTGCGACCTCATGATGGGATGGGGACATTGGGGCTCCTTGGTTGGAGGTTCGGGCGAGGCCCTGGGCTTCTTGGCCTGTTTCGGTCACAGCCGTGAACCTGTGGAGGGGGACTGGAGGAGTCCTGGTTCCTGGCCTTGTTTACACCCGCGCAGATGATGGAGCCTGAGAACCATGTTCCGAAGACCAAGTGGCGAACTGGGGGGGTAATTGGTGGTCCTCTGCAGGAGGGTCGCGTTTACTTCGGGCGCCACTGTTGGTTGCCACTGTTGTCACTCCCGACACTTGTCACTTGCAGTGGTGAAGGTTCCTTCCACATGTCGTTTTGCATGCTAGGACAGTTGTTGTGGTTGTAGGGTTACAGTAGTTGTGCGCGGAGGTCGCTAGATTGGCATTCTTCTAAAGGTGTGCTGGCTCAGAAAGGACCCTCAGTTCGCTAGGGTGTTGAACTTCACAAGTCAGGGTTTTGGACCTCAAACGTGTAGCGGTTTGATGGTCCGCCTTTGGGTGGAAGAAGATGTTTTTCGTGCAAGCCTTTGTTTCGTTCACCACCGACCGTCTTCCATCGTTTCTTTTCTTGCGCGAAACAGGACGCCGCTAGGATTGCTGCTGAGTGACCTTTGCTACTCCCCACAGTCAATTCTGGAGCCACTGCTGAAAATCTTACAGAAGGCCGAGGAGTTGGATGCTTGGACTAGGTGACTAGGTTGGTTGGGGAGTCTTATTCTGTTGGACCCTGCCAGAAACCATCCAGCCTCGAGTTCGAGCAGTTTCTTCAAAGTCCTTGGAGGTGACCATCCTCTCCTTCCCTGTTCGGGAGGGCTCCGCCCACGCGAGTGATTGGACTAGGTCGGGCTGAGTGTCGGTCCATTTGGGCACCTGAGGCGTTCCTTTTTTTTGGCAAGTTGGTGTACCATCCAGAACTTGCAGAACCAAAACACACAACCCCTGGATTTCGGTGCGATCCTGGAAAGCCTTTCGTTGGTTCACCTGAACCTGAGCAGTTCGGTCTTCTCGACCGAAGTCGGTCGCCCATCGGCGTTGGTCCGACTCAAGGGAGGTGATCCTGGAGGAGGTGTGGGATCTGGTGGGTCCTGGAGTGTGGTTCCAACTTGGTGGGTCCTGGAGCAGTGGAGAAGAACAACAAAGCCAAGGCTTCCCTTCTGCCTGAGGCATTGTTGGTCCCCAGCCAACTGTCCAAGCAACTCTGGAACAGAGCCAAATGGAAACTACTCTGAAGATCCCTCTTTCTCTCGTCACGAGCGAGGCGACTAAAAACAGGGTTCACACACTGAAGCTCGGATGCCGAAGATCAAAAGGGTAGATGTTTATAGACTCTATAAAGGTGTTTTGTGTTGAACTGACCACTTCAAGATTTTCAGAGCCCTTTGTGTGGTTTAGGTGAAGATTGATATCAGAAGATCCAGCCATCCTATAGCTAGCCCTTTCTCAACATCAGGGGTCTAGCAGCTGTCGAGACTCCCGCCCCGCTCAAGCTCGAGCGTGTTTGTTTTGTTCGGATGCAGACGACTCAATGCGCAGGTGGAAATCAAGTTGCTTGATTTCATGCCACATCACTTTGAAGTTGTTGGTGACCCCAGAAAACGAAACTCCACTTTGGAGAGACTCGCCAGCCGGAAGTGTGTCCGCCCTCGTATGGCCTGAGGGCCATTTGGGGGACGTGAAGAGCTCCGAAGCGCCCTTTCTGCTCTTCATGCTCGAGCTGGCGAGCCCCTTCCCTAGCCCTAGCCGTCGGCACTGGCCGGTTTCACCGGGTGGAAAGTGGACTCGTGGACTCGCACGAGTCCCGGGTGGAAACAGGTGCTGGGTGATTGGTAGCTCAAAACCAGATGACGACTTTCTTCCAAGGGTCACTCCTATGGGGAGAGTCAAACTGAACCATCTCATGTCCCTCGAAAAAAGTGCTCCCCTCATGCAAGAATGTGCGAAGAGCTTCGGGTGAAAACATCATCACATGAAAACCACTTGTGAAGGCTTCCCGCTATTTAGCGTAAATTGTTTGCTTCCCCTCAAAGCCTTAAGAGGGGGGCAGTCTGCAGATTCTGGAAACAAACGTACGCCTAGCAAATGTACCCCACCATGGCACACCTTCTGGTTTAGTCTTGGAAGATAGCCGACTAGGTCCATGGACCTGCCGCCTATCACGCCGCATGCCCCTGTTTCCATCAGGTTCCTGCCGTCGAATCCCACGATGTCGCTGTTAAAAATGTTTTCCCGAATGCGTAGCGAAGGGTTCTCGTTTAACTCTTGTTCGCGACCCGTTGTCTGAGCGACCGCAACCGTCCGCAACCTTTCGCAACCGACCGCGCCGTTCGCAGTAGAGCGCTAGGGCCGCCGCCATTGGGGGAAGCTTTTGGAGAGGGTTTTGGCATGGAAGCGTGATGTGTCAGATTGGTGTGAAATAGCGAGGAAACGTGTGGATACGTAAGATGCTGAAGTATGGAGGATGAGTTCACTGCGCAGGCGCAGCGTTTGTGAGATCGGTAGTGTTCTGCGCAGTCACATTGGGATTAGCGTTTGGAGAGTGATGTTTTTGGGGTGTTGGATGTGGCTGTGCCATTGGGATTTGCGTTTCAGGGTGTGGCATCGAAGCTCTGTTTTCGTGACAAGTCTTGGCCGAAATGGCGATTTTGGTGGACGCAGGTGTGGTCAGAACGTGTCGAAATCATTCCAAACGTGTGGTGTGGTGCAAATTTTGTTGAAGCTCACATGATGCGATATAGTCACTTTTCGTGGCAGGCGCAGTATTTTGTGCGGGTTTTGAGGTGAGGAAGTGGGATTTTCGTGGCAGGCGCAGGAGATTGTGAGGTTGCGAGGTGTGATGGAGGTGACATTTCGTGGCAGGCGCAGTACTTTGTGCGCGTTAGACGTGTGTATACGGAAAGTTTCGTGGCAGGTGCAGGGAGTCGTGAGGTTGCGAGTTGTGGTGGAGGTGAATGTCGATGTGAAGTTGTTGGTGTGTTTCCGTTTGCAGGCCGGCGTTTTTTGCTGCAGCAGCAAGCAGCGCGTTTGAGCCTGAGCGAAAGAAACCGTGAGTTTTTGATTCTGGAGTAGGCCAACGTTGATGCAGATGCTGCAACAGATGATGCGCCAGCAGCAGCAGACACTGAGTGAGGAAGTCCCACCAAAAAGACGAAAGACGCCCTACAAGCCACCAGTGCAGCCCATCAAGGTAGAGGTGAAAGAGGAGCATGTGGAGCCTTTGCAACACCTCCCAAAGTCACCAGGATTCTAGGTGAACATGTGCTGAATGCGGGCGTTGCGCCTCACGCAGCGACCGTGAGTTCAACAAGCCCAGGCCTGACTGGGAGTGGATCGGTCGGGACCTCGAGTGGGAACCCGTTCAAAGCAGTCGACTCGAAGCTAATACCCAACATGCCGACTTGTGATCCTGGAAAGTGGACCACCCGACCCCAGCTTTTCGTTTGTTTTTGGAGAGTTTGGTGAGTTAGCACGTTAGCCCCTGCTTACCACAACGAGATTGCCCTAGTGTTGTCGGAGAGAGCTGTTCCAGATGCCGCGTCGGTAGCTGTGCAAGAGAGGTCACAAAGGTTGTTTTTCATTTTGAAGCAAGCCTTTGCGGGATCTAGCAAAGTGATGACGATCGTGAGGGTGTTTGAGAGTCAACACGCGTTTGGAACTCCAGATGGGTATGGTTTGTTGAAGCAGTTGAAGAATGAGTTTGCCATTTTGACACGTACTGAAGGGTACTACTTCAGACAGTTGATTCTGAACTACCGTGTAAGCAGGGCTTCGAAGCTAGATTCGAAAGAGATCGTGCAAGCGTCAGAGAGTGAGTTTTACTCGTATGATTCGATCGTTTTTGGCAAACAATCACGGATCCAACGTTCGTGGAGCAAACAATCACGGATCCAACGTTCGTGGAGAGTTGTCCCTGCCGGATTCGGAGAAGTTTCGCTTGTTGTTGCTAAATGTTGATGAGAACACTAGGTCGTATTTGCAACTGCATGCGGGTGACTCATGCATGGACAGAGGCACGTGCCAGTGCGATCAAGTACTTCGAAAGAACCAGTCTTTTGGGGCAAGATTTTTCGAAGGTGCCTCAACTTCGTTGTCCGCGTTCAACTCAGCAGGGTCCGCCGGTGCGAGCGAACCTCGTGATCTGTCCAATGTAGTTTGTTGGAAGTGCAACCGTAAGGGGCATTACGCCAGAGATTGTAAGGATGGAGGATGTCATCCGTCGTCACGTCAAGGCACTCCTCGAAAGGTTCTTCCGAAAAAGGGTCACCCAGTGGAAAAGGAAAAGGAAAGGTAGCCAAGGGTTCGAAGGGTTCAATGCCTGCGCCTAGTGGTTCGTCCTCGAAAGGCTCAAGCAAAGGAAGTAAAGGTAAGTCGAAGAAAGGTGGTAAAGGTAAGAGATGATTTCGTGCAGCCGAACTTGCCACCGATGACGGTGGGTTGATTACGAAACAGAGTATGCCCATGCTTTTGAAGATGACGAACAGTCGGTATGGAGTGAACAAGAGGGTGAGATTAGGTTGAGCGTGTTTGTTGAAAATGCCGAGATGCCTTGTTTTGCCGCTCCGTTTTCCGAACCGATTGAACCGCAGGACAGTTTTGAGGCGCTTGACTTCGTTGTTTCGTGTTCGGAGTCGATGGCCGAAGTCGCAAGTGTTGACAGCTTTGCACTTGAGCAGTTCGCGTGTGATAGGTTTGGAGCTTTTCACGTGTTGAGCGAGTCTGAGATGTTAGCTTTGGATTTTTAGAGCCTCAGGGTCACGAGATGCATCGTAAGAGACCACTAGCGAGCAGACGCGTCAAACGTCGGACGAACTGGACCTTTCTGCGCGTCAAGAGCCGACAGTCCGGGTTCGTCAAGAGTCTGTGTCGCTTTGGAGCCTCAGAGGGTGTGAGAGTAGATGCAGAAACAGCCAAACCAGTAAAGGAGCTTGAGCTAGAAGCACGTTTTTCCTGTCATGATGAAACCGTAGATCGTGGCGCTTGGGGTTTTCCCAGTTTTTCCATTCTCCACCGCCTCGTGCAAGGAATCATCGTGTGCTGCTTGTGTTCGCATCCATCCGGAACCGCAGAGGGCAGTTGCTTCCTTTCCTTGTCGATGCAGTGCCGGAACTGGAGCTGTGTGAACAGTTGTCTAGGCAATAGACACTTGAGGGTGCAGGCTGTTCCGCCTGTTTTTGCCCAGTGCATCAGTTGCACCTTTGGTTTTGTTCGAGTTTGGGCCTTTCAGTGTCGTTGGGACAAGGTCAGTATACTCGGAGATTTTTGTGTTCTTGTATTCCTCTCGTTCACTGACAGCGATCACTTCAGAGGAAGGGGATGTACTTTGAGCAGCGTGTTGGTTGGAAACCGCACTTGCACGCTGAATCCATATGTTCACGGGAATAGGTTTGCTACCAAAAGTAAGCCCTGAGTTGCATTTGTTTGGGTGGCCACAGACATGTGCAACCACTTGCGAGGTTGCCAGCCGTTCGATGTTTTGCTATAGCTGCGCTAGCTGGATGCCCGGCGTTTGGTGTACAGAATTTGAATGAAGCTATGACGCGACAATTTGGCTCAAGGAGTGAAGACAAAAAGTACTACAGAATAATATAAAGTGAATCGATTCGACGCGAGCATTCGTTTTCGATTGCGCTATATAGTTGTTTTGTAAGTGCATCCAGGGATTGCCCGTCCCTGCGTAGTTTAGGGTTTATGTGAAGGAATGAACCCCTATTATAGGTAACAAGACGTCAAAGGCAATGCTTGGAACTTTTTCAGCAGCAGGCAACGCTGAAGATGTCCAGACAGTTTGAAATGACGTGAGCTTGTTTGAAATCTGTTTCCTACATGTCTTGCACCACTCCAGTGCTCAAAATGAGCCCAATGCAATCGGTAAATGAGCCCAATCTAGTTTGCACTCCGCAGATGTAAAGATGGTTCCTTTTGTGTGTCGCACTCCTGCTTTGAAGTGTTTGTCGTGGAGGTGTGTTACAGTACGTTTTGGAAACGTGAAACTGGTGTTAGTTTGAAGCAGCAATTCACGACGACCAAAGCAACACCAGCGGTGTACACAAAGGGACCCGTGCCAATGCATTCACGCCAGACCATTTGAACACATTTGCTTTCCGTGAATGTTTGCAGAGTGTATGATAGTGTTCGACGTGAATACTGGTGGATGACGTTCGAAAACGTCATAGAAGCTCACCCGCAAAAAAACGACAGCAGATGCTATCACGAGAGACCGTCTGAAAGAGTTTGTTCACGTGCAGTCACAGTAGACCATTTGAAAGCAAATGTCCGCGGTGATTGTCTATAGATCTCGTGAGTTCCTTTTAGTTTCTTTTGCTTGCAGTACGAATTGCTAGTTGATGGATCCACTACATCTTTTGCAGAATAGCATTGAAATAGCGCAGCTGGACAATACCAGTTGAAGAGTTCTTGCGTTTACGGTAATGCATTCGTTGGTGGTTGTGTTCCATCAAAGTTGCCGCGTTCTTTGAATGGCTAGGAGTCATTCGAAGCAAAGCGAGCGCACAGACCTGTCAGGACGGCAATGCCCCAAAATGTACCCAGCGAAAGGAGATCGAGAATTTGTTCGTGTAGCACTTGCAATGCATTTGTTCTTTTGATGGTGTGGCGCTTTCAATGCCTTCGTGCTAGTATGATTCTACTGGATATTGTTTGGGAACAATGTTTTTGGTACATTGCATTCAGCGGGACTTGCCACTGTTTTGCGTGAGGAGAGCATATGCCACCGAGCGTGGCTATCATTTGCCTAGTTATTGTATGTCGAGGGTGCAGGTATAGTACCTATTTTGCCTAGTGCAGAGCACTTTGTTTGATCTCGGACGATAGTGTCTGAAACCAAATGCTTTCGCATTTCAGTGCGTTTTCTCGATGGTCGAAGAGATCAAGAGTTTTTTGTTCGATTCGATGTGGCCAGGACGATAATTTATATGTGAGCGCCGACAACGCTCCTTGTTGGCTCAAGGAGAAAAAGTCTAGGGATTCGCGTGTGAGCGGGGTTTGGAGGGGCTGGAATCGCGAAACTGCTTGGCAGGGCTGCTTGATGTGTGTGCTCCGATGGGTGACTTTTGGAGGAAGTGTCTCGTACGAAACGCTCGTTTTGGAGACTGGACGCGTGACTTTTGGAGGAAGTTTCGCACGAAACGCTCGTTTAGCAGGCTCGAAGCGTGACTGTTGGAGGAAGTCTCGTACGAAACGCTCGTTTTGCAGACTCGAAGCGTGAGTTTTTGAGGAAGTCTCGTACGAAACGATCGTTTTGCAGACTGGACGTGTGAGTTTTTGAGGACGTCTCCTGCGAAACTGCGAAACGCTCGTTCTGGAGACGCGACGGTTGACATTTGGAGACTTTTGTAATTAAGTAGCAGTGCCCCACAAGAGTGTCCTACACAAGGGTGTCCCACAAGAGTGTCCTACAAGACTGTTTCGCAAAGTGTCCTACAAGAGTGTTCCCCAAGAGTGCCCCGCAAGAGTGAGTGTCCGACAAGAAGAGTGTCCCGCAAGGGTGAAAAACAAAAGTGTCCCACAAGAGTGTCCCACCAGAATGTCCGACAAGAGTGTCCCACAAGAGTGTCTCACAAGAGTGTCCTACAAGACTTTCCCACAAGAGTGTCCTACAAGAGTGTTCCGCAAGAGTGACATACAAAAGTGTCCCGCAAGAGTTTCCTACAAGACAGTTTCGCAAGAGTGTCCTACAAGAGTGTCCCACAAGAGTCACAAGAGTGCCAAACAAGAATGTCCCACAAGAGTGTCCCGCAAGAGTGTCCCACAAAAAAGTCCGACAAGAGTGTCCTACAAGAGTGCCCCACAAGAGTGTCCTACAAGAGTGTCCCACAAGAGTGTCATATAAGAGTGTCCCGCAAGAGAGTCCTACAAGAGTGTTCCGCAAGAGTGCCCCGCAAGAGTGAGTGTCATACAAGAGTGTCCTACAAGAGTGACAAGCAAGACTGTCCCACAAGAGTGTCCTGCAAGAGTGTCGCACAAAAAAATGTCCGACAAGACTTTCCCACAAGCGTGTCCTACAACCGTGTCCCACAGGAGTGTCATATAAGAGTGTCCCAAAAGAGAGTCCTACAAGAGTGTTCCGCAAGAGTGTTCTACAAGACTGTTTCGCAAGAGTGTCCTACAAGAGTGTCCCACAAGAGTGACAAACAAGAGTGTCCCACAAGAGTGTCCCGCAAGAGTGTCCTACAAGAAAGAGTGTCCTACAAGAGTGTCTCACAGGAGTGTCCTACAAGAGTGTCCCACAAGAATGTCCTACAAGAGTATCCCACAAGAGTGTCCTACAAGAGTGTTCCGCAAGAGTGTCCCACAAGAGTGAGTGTCATACAAGGCTTTCCACAAGAGTGCACAAGAGTGTCCCACAAAGGTTTCCGAAAAGAATGTGTCATACAAGAGTGTCCCACAAAAGTGTCTCCTACAAGAGTGTCAAACATTGTTTGGGTGTTTGTTTTCGAGTACGTGTTGGCATTAGGGTTCGTGGGTTCCATCTTGTTTTCTCTTTTTAATGTCGTTTTATGAGGTTATGACTCGACCACCATTCCCAGCGAAGAGCAATACTCGACGACCATGATTCACATAGAAGGCATAGAATAGAGACTTTCGCTTCATCCAGGCTTTGACATGTTATGACAACAAGTTCGATTGAACAACAGCGCAAACCCGACTTTGGTGTCTAGTTAGTCTGGGGGGGCTTGTAGGTTCTGCTACTGCCACTAACTTTAATGATAGAACATTGAAAACCAATCTTTTGAGTCCATGTGATGTTCAATGAATAAATCCACTTATATAGCTGTGTTTGAGTGATTCCGAAACCGACAAGTCATCCATTTGCAGAAAGTATGCAGACAACTCTTAAATGTTCCAGTCACTTTGATATGTTCCAGTCTGTGCAATTGATCAGCTGTTTGTTTACCTTCGGCCCACTTGGCCATGCCCACTTGGCACGACGATGTCGCCCGGGAAACGGTTTCAATTTCCATCGACCCCCCGACCGTCGCTGGAGTTTCAGGCGATATCCTTCGCTTCGTGGACTATGCGTCTGGGTCTCATGGGATCAGGGTTTCTGAGGAAGGATGGAAAGGGAGAGGTTTATTTATTTCTTGGCTCCATGATCATGGCGTGCTGGACATTTGATGTTGAGATCATCATGGCAGCCCAGATGGTAGGAGTTTGATGTGTATATTGTATATATATATATATGTATTATATAACATATATAGTTTATATACATACACAGGCATTTTTTCAATTGTTCCAAAAAAGGATTCCCAAGCTAGGACAACACAGTGAACCTTTTCCACTCTCTGCATTTTTTGAAAGCTGTCAACTGCAAAGATTGACTCAGTAAGCTGAGCGCCCGCTCCCAGATGGGTTCGCAGATGGGTTGGCGATGTAAGACATTCAATCTGCAATGCACGGCCTGTGGACTTGTCGGACGTGAAAAACCCTGAGCCCTGATGGCCTAGGACTGACTCGAGCCCTGGGGCAAACTCTCGGATGCTTCAGGGATTTGGAGTTGCTTCGGGGCTTGGATTATAGAAGTTGCTTTGGGGCTGGTGTCCACTACCTGGTGCCCAGAGTCCCACCCATCTCACCCCTGCGATCTCCAGCTTCCTCCCCTCGCGCCTCGGTCAGGGCGCAGCTGGCGCAGCCGTCCGACGCCGCGCGCGACGTGTTGCGGGAGGCGGGACGTGGGAAGAAGCGCCGCGGGTGGCGGCAGACCGACTGGTTGGACGCTACATGGGAGGTCCTTCGCTACATTGGACCGGCTCCAGGTTTTGACCCAAACTCCCAGCAAAAGCATGCAAGGTTGACATCCGTGCCAGTCTTCTTCTGTTCATTTGGGGTGGTCAAGCAAGGTCCTCCAGTTTTGACTCACAGCCAAATGTATATTCGGGTATCGAAGTGAACTTGCACAATTCATATGAGCGAGGTCATGGCTTCATGTCGTGTACACACCAAGAATGGATGCCTCACTGTTCACCAGATGGATCAACAAAGGCGAACAAAAAACCCTCAAGATCAGCGTGGGACTGTGCACGTTTTCTATAGGCATGAGGACTCCACTCCGGTGACATGGCGGGTCCAAACTGGGGGGACCGACGAACAAAAGGAACAGAAATAGACCAACCACCTCAGGAAGTCCACCGCCGCGGTGAGTTCCGGGCTTGCCCAGCCACAGAACCGGCACCAGCGGATCGTGCACGAGCAGCGCAAGCGGATCGTGCACGAGCGGATCGCCCTTGCAGCAAGGGCCATGTTGCAATGCTGGGAAATGGACTCAAAGTGTTAAAACTGACTGGTGCTTAGTAGGGAATGAGGGAATGGATCCAAAGGAAGCTCTATTGGGGCTCATTCCCTCAATCCCTACTAAGCACATCTAAGAAAATGAACACGTGGTTTCTCACAGTGGCGGACCTGTTGATCTTTACAAACAGGTGTTTTTTGTCCACGACTCTAGTGAGAGTGTGTCCGTGAGGGCCAGTTGCCCATTGGACAACATTTGGACACGGTACAGGTGGTCATGCGCAGGTGCATACTTCATATCAAGGTCTTTCACAAGGCCTGCACCCGTCAGCAAACACGAGCCAAGGTGTTTGTAGCTCGCAACTGCATGCAATGGTTGGTTAAGAAGAACGAGAACAGATCACCAATTGTTGACGCTGAAGAGCCAGACAATGCCAGACATGTCAACGAGCCAGAACACTTTGCGTTTAACAAACACACCCGTTTCCGTCTGCACATTGGGCTGAAGCCGCCCCCCCAAAACAGATCCAAGATCTTCCATGATCTTCTCATCTTTCCTCCACGGAATCGGAGCCTCAATGTCTTGCGGCACGCACTCCTCCGCGGGGGTCCGCGGGGGGACGCCCCTTACGCAGTCAACAGCAAAAGAGAAGTTACTCACGTGCTTTTCTCAATCCTGTGGATCCACTCGTACCTTCTCAAGTACGGTGAGGAAGCAGACGCTGTTTTCTGTAGGGTGCCATTGTTGGGTCCAGTCATACTGAAACCTGAGGTTCGGTACCTCGCTAGGGCAAGGAAGATGATTGGCCACATGGCCCTGAAACTTCGAAAATTCCGGCCAGTCCAAGGTTGGCGCCCCAGAAACACGGCCTGTCAAAAGACCGCCAGTTTTGGAGCCACACTCCTCAAGCTGGAGAGCAGACACGTCCAGGGGGTTGGAAAGCCAAGTCCAATCTGATGGAGTTGTCCTGGTTGGTTCGACATGTCTTTTCGCCTCCGAAGGTTCCGAAACCGCGGCGGTCGACCAAAAACGGTCGGTCGACTGCGGGGGATCCGACCGGGTGCGGACAACGAGATGAATGTGACCATCCGGTGCAAAGCACCGATGGCACCGAAGCAAAACACACTGAAGAGCTGAAGATCCCCCAGAAGGGCAGTGATCCCATCTGCGTGAAGCAGAACCAGCAAGGCATTCAATTGCACATGGTATCATGGAATCTGATCTAGTGAATCTAGTGATGCATCTACCCAAATCTTCAACCCAGGACCCGGATCTTTGGTCTTCCTTCACCACCTGGACGGGGTTCTGGGATGGCACCAGAGCACTTCCATGTTCGATCCGACCCAGGTCGGACCCTGGAGGAGCATCCGATCCGTCCGCGTGTTGAAGTAGGCAAAGCATTCTGTTCGTCACCAACCAGGATTTTTGTCTCACGTCTGGTCGTTTCATTCAGAACACCCTTTTTTTTGATCTTTTTTGCCGTATCTGGTCATTCGTTTCAACCACGGCTGCCAATGCATTGGAAACGACGTCGTTTGACCTTGCAACCCTCCTGGTTCTTTGACCTCACATCCCCCACTTCGACCGTGGTAGCGTCCGTGGTCACAGATCACAGAGGGTCGACCGTCGGTCACGACCGCCGAGTTCGAACGGTGCTGACGGTGCCTGGAGTTCCGTTCGGTTCCCGGAACCAGCTTCGGTTCCCAGGTCCCTGTAGGTCTCTGGAACACTACGCTCGGCACCTGGAACTTCACTCAAAGCCAGGGAACTGGAGGAAGCAGACTCTTCGACCTGCTCTCCCTCCTCCCTGCCACAGGAAAAACCAGGGCTCATGCCCTGGAAAAGACGCAAGTTGTTGACGCTTCGACGCGAACAGACGCTCATTTCGACCTGGTCAAAGAAGACTCTGGTCAAAAAGAGCTTGAGGTGATGCCCTCCACCGACGTTTTCCGAAAGCGCCTCCCTCAACCGATCGGCCCTTACTCTCAAGCCGCCCGGTTACGCCGCGTGGCGTTCGTTGGAAGGCCGCCGTGGCGTTGAGAGACTTCACGACGAAGAGTCGTGGCACGTTGGCGCGTGGCACCCTGAGATCCAGAGACGACAGCCGTGGGGGGAGAGGTGGAGAGATGCAGTTCTTTTGGATCGGTCAAGTGGGGAGCAGGGGGTGGATCAGGGGTATGATGGGGTGGGGAGCAGGGCTCGGGCAGTTGGTGGCTGAATTTGGAGATCCTCACAGGTGGGAAAAAAGGGATATGGGCGTTTCCTGTTGAAGAGGATCATGGCGAGTGGTCGAATCCAGGTAGAAGAGAATCTACCCCAGAAAAATAGGTGAAGCAAAATGGAAACAGAGCCGGTTGCTCATTGGTCAGTGGACCATATGTTATGGACATATCTGCAGATGACCTTGCTTATAGTCTTTGTCCTTAAGTCATAGCCGGAGAGAAATGCCAAAAAATCCCTACCTTGGGTGCTTTTTTTCAAGCCATTGGCTTGCAGAACATGGGGTCTTCGTGGATGGTCACGTTTCAGTCTTCCATCGAGGATTGCCACCTCGTTGAGCCCCGTTTTGGGGTGTTGCAGGCAACGCAGAGGTCGCGCAAAGTGGGTCCTTTGCCGGCGACTGAAGGTCCTGGTTGCAGGAGGGGACGTGCCTGGCTCGTTCTGAGGCTGGAGTTCCAAGTCGAAGGACTTGCCCACGACCTGTGCCGTGCACGGCCCCTTTGGAAAGCACGAGATCCCTTCGCAGCGTTTTCGATCTGGGTTGTTGCTGGTGTTTTTCGAGGTGGTCGGTGCCGAAAGCTGTGCGATATATGTATTGCATGCAGGTTGTGAGATTTCGTGGGAGTTGAGGTAGGAGGTCAGCAGACCTCAAGGGCATCTTGGAACCAACGGGGCGACGCTTCTTCCGACGACCGACCAAACGCTCCAATCGCCTGGAATGGGTTGGGGCTTTACCGCAGATCGAAGCCTGTAGGTCGCAGGGTGGTCTTCTTTGGATAGATGGTCGAAGATGCCGATGGGTTGGCCCGAAGAGATCCAGAAAAAGACCTCTTGAAGGTTGGTAGGCATCGAGACCCGGCTTTTTGAGACCAGTGTTTGGCTGCGAAGCGGGCTATTGATTCTTCAATCAGACTCTCTCTTGACCGTTCGCGGAGTCTTTAAGTCTCACCATCCTAACTTCGATGGAATTCAGTCGATGGAGAAGTGGCAGAACTCCCGCACCTGAGAAAAGACCACCTTCCCGCAGAAGAGGGGCTATTGAAGAGGGCACCATGAGAGTACCTAACCAGTGGATCAGTGGTTAGCTTGGAACATACTCTGTCTATAACTTCTAGCTCCTAGCTCAGCAGCACCAAGCTTCTGTGAGCATGGCGATTTCGGAGTGTTCTATTTGGGCTGGGTGTTTTTTAATGCTAATGGTTTTTTTCTTATGCTCACAGCGGGGTTGGTGTGCTTTTGGGGTATGGGTTTCTTTTTTTTATGCTTATAGTGCTTTTTTTTATGCTAATGGTTTTTTCTGTTATGCTTGCAGTTCTTTCTTTTATGCTCCTGTTTTTTTTTTTAATGCTAATGGTTTCTTTTTTTATGCTAAGGGTTCTTTTTTTTTATGCGGCACTGTGGGAAGAGGTCACGTTGGGGGGTCCTAGTGCAGAATGTAATTGTCAGGAGGGTTTAGTGCAGAATGTAATTGTCGGGAGGCTTTAGTACAGAATGTAATTGTCGGGAGGTTTTAGTACAGAAAGTAATTTTCGAGAGGTTTTAGTACAGCAAGTAATTGTCGGGAGGTTTGAGTACAGAAAGTAATTGTCGGGAGGTTTTAGTACAGAAAGTAATTGTCGGGAGGTTTTAGTACAAAACGTAATTGTCGGGGGGCTTTAGTACCGAATGTAATCGTCGGGGAGTTTTAGTACAGAATTAAATGTCGGGGGCCTTTAGTATCGAATGTAAGCGTCGGGGTGTTACCGAATGGACAATTATTCATGAACGAACCGTTCAGTGAAAGGTGATGCATTCGTCAGCAGAAACCGAAAAGTGATGAGTTCCAGTATCAACTGATATCAATTGTTTAAATGAACGGTAGAAATGTGGCCAAATGGGCTCCAGTCAGAAATCAGGGTCGCTTCGTGCGGTGTCTGTGTCGGTCCGTCCGGCATGGGTGGGCAGTGATCAAGCTCCTCTCTCGTTGGATCTCCTCGCTGGAGTTTTTTGGTTTCCGCCAGCAAAGAAGTTTTCATCGGGGAAGAGTTTGCATGTCACCATCCAAGAAAAGACGCGACTTCCACAGAGCCTCTGCTCATGCCACGCGTCAGAATGCTTCCGATCGAAAACAGGGCCGTTCTTCTGCCAGCCGTTGTTCTTCCCGACGCAGAAGGGCTTTGTGGCTGGCATGGAGGGCAGATGGCCATTCCACCATTCCATCAGACAAGGTTTGGTTGTTCTACCGTCTCGCCCTTGCCGCCAAAACTGGAACTGGAGTGTTGGGTGAATTTCTTTGCAATTCCTTGCCTGTGCAGCCGCCGGTCAGAACTCGGCAACGAGATGTTTTTCCCTTGGCCCCGCTTGGTGGTAGCATGCTGAAGCCTGTAGACATGACAAGTGGCAGGTGGAGCGTGCTCCTCCAATTCATCAACGTGGTCATTGGCATTCTGAACTGGTTGCACGGCATAAAGCAGACAGTGCCGACTGGCAAGCACACGTTCGCTCAACAAGCAGTTTTGAAAAACATCGTGGATCGCACAGTGTGGACACTCACACGCCTGCAACATGCGCAAGATGGCTGGGAGCGGTTTGTGCCAGATTTTGTGCCAGGTTTCACTGCAGGTACAACTTCTTTCCAAGACTTGGTTGCTGACAGGGTGGACAACTTGCAAGCGGCTGGCTTATGCGATCCTTTGCCCCACTTGCCAGCCCATGTGCGGGCCAGCTTGGCAACACCTGAAGGAATCCTTGACAACAGCGATGATTCTTTGCGTGTTTTTGAATCTTTCTCCTTAAGGGCCCGAAAGACGAATATGCAAAATTGGTTGTCAAGCAGCTGCGGTGTGGTAAGTTGAGTTTAGCAACTTTTTGCAAGGGTGGTGGTACCACTTTCGCTGTTGGGAAGCCTGGGGGTGAACGCCTGAGGGAGGTATGGCACGGCCGACGTGTTTCAGAATCAGCTTCTGCACCTCCAAAGCCGAGACACTTGGCTTCCCCAACTGCGTTGACCTTTCTGGAGTGCAGCGATGGAAGACCACTACGCCTTAGCAAGCGCGATGCTACGTGTTGGTTTGACCAGTTGAAGCTTCCCAGCTCTCTTCGTCGATACATGGCCAAACCGCCCATCTCCACAGTGGAACTTGTCAATGCTGGAATGTCAGTGGCGGATCAGCGGCAGCACATGGAAGATGGACATGCTTGGCGCGAAGGTTTGCTATATCCTTTGCACTGCGTCTGGCCTATGGGATTTTTCTTGGTCTTCTTACATAGCCCAAGAAGAGATGCTGAGTGTTTGTCAAGATGCTGGCATACCAACTTCATCTCTCTTGGCTTGTGATTGCGTGACACCTACATCGTTTGAGCTTGTTGCTGCGGTGGCCACCGATGATGTCATGATTTTCAGCGACGCTGGCCCTGGTGCCACCTGTGAAGCAGCAAGAGCTTTCGATGCAGCTATGGATGCACGATGCGCAGTCCGAAATCTTAAGAAGGACGTTGACGACGCGCTCTGTGGTACCTGTGTTGGGGTTGACTTAGTAGACGGATACTTTCTGGATGTGCCGGGGGGGACGCTACTTGGCCATGATTCTGACAAATTGAAGCTTGAGCACTTTTCCGACATCTGCAGTGTTCGCTCCAAATTTCATGCACACATCAACGTCCTGGAAGGTGAGGCATTCGTGCTTTTCTTGAAGTGGCTTCTGCGGTCCACCAAGCACCACTCGACAAGAGTTGTTGTTCTGCTTGACTCTGCAGTTTTCTGGGCGCGGCCGCGAAAGGGAGGTCATCTTCACAGTTGAACAGGCTGTTGCGGAAGGTCGCTTCTCTGGCGATGGCTGGAAATCTTCAGCTGCATTTTATCTTTGTCCCCTCCAGCGAAAATCCAGCGGATTTCCCTTCGCGTGGCAAGAAGAGGCGAGCGCGAAAGTGAAGCAGCTCTAGGCTGCACGGAGTTTTTCGGAAGCCCTGCCTTTCTGGCATGATGTGCAAACTTCCGAACTTGCGCCCTAGAATTCAATTTTGTCAATTTTGATGGGTGTTCGTGTTGCTGGCGCTCGGCGTCCTACATCCGGGCACGCTGCGGTAGATTCTGCGCGTTCTGGCGCAGAACTGGCTCCGACGGGCAGCTGGCGCTCGGGCTACTGTGAGTTTGCTCCGCTCACAAAGGCCTCAACGGCGCACTGGTTGATGTGATAATCTGCTCTCTGAGACCCACACACACAACCGGTGGAATTCTTTTTGGTTTGTCGGCAGTGATTTTCTCTCACAGCCAGTGCCGGCGGTCGGGATTGATGATCATTAATGCTGGACCTGAACAAAGCTGGCAAAGTCAGCTGTGGACAGTGGTTGTAGCATGATCAAGTTAACCTCTCGGCAATCGCACCCGGTTCACAAAAGATTCCCATCCTGTCCTTGCTGTACGGTGCTGCTTGGCCTGAAACTCCTGGGAGGCTGGAAGGAGAGGTGCAGTCTCATGAATGGACAATTATTCATGAACGAACCGTTCAGTGAAAGGTGATGCATCCGTCAGCAGAAACCGAAAAGTGATGAGTTCCAGTATCAACTGATATCAATTGTTTAAATGAACGGTAGAAATGTGGCCAAATGGGCTCCAGTCAGAAATCAGGGTCGCTTCGTGCGGCCCACCCGGCCCGGCCCCTTTTTCACGCGGGATTGATGATCATTAATGCTGGACCTGAACAAAGCTGGCAAAGTCAGCTGTGGACAGTGGTTGTAGCATGATCAAGTTCTAACCTCTCGGCAATCGCGCCCGGTTCACAAAAGATTCGCATCCTGTCCTTGCTGTACGGTGCTGCTTGGCCTGAAACTCCTGGGAGGCTGGAAGGAGAGGTGCAGTCTCATGAATGTAATCGTCGGGGAGTTCTAGTGATCGTTTGGCTCCAGACTTTTTCTGCCCAATATTGCACTGCGTGGCACGAAAAGAAGGTATGCTCGTCGTTGCTCGCGCACTTACATCGTGAGAGGGTCTTCCAAGTTGACTGACCCTTTGGTGAGCCACCCGAGGGTAAAATTTAGAGAAGGATGTTGCCATTTCAACTTGACTCACCCTTTTGTGGGC